TGCTGGCTTCAGATACACACTACAGTCTGGGGGAGACAGTCCCTACCCATCCTTCTTCAGCAGGGAATGTTTCTGAGACCCGAGACCATCCGTGGGTGCCAGAATTACACACTATGTTTCTTCCTTTACTTACACTCTTGTGATAAAGTTTAATTAGGCACAGTAAGAAGTTAACGATAAAATACAACAACTGTAGCAATGTGCTATGATAAAAGTTTACAAACTTATGGATTGTTTATTTCTGGAATTTTCCATTTAGTATTTTTGGATCACAAATGACCTCAGGTAACCAAGACTAAAAATAATGGTGAGGAGGGGTGTGGACAACTACACCCAGAACTACTGTCATTCATTCAGATATATATATATTCACACATCAAATTCTAACTGATTTCTTTTTATAAACTGTTCAGTGGTTCAAGGTTCCAAGAACAGTTCAGCTAACACGTCCCTGGCCACCCGGTGGGAAAACGAGGTCAAAGGAATAGCTTTCTAACCCTGACCTCTGAAACAAAGCCACGTACTAACAGCCAACATCTAAATAGACTTTTATTTTTATTTTTCTTGTTTGGACAGAAAAGAAAAAGTCATTGGCCTTCATTAGTCTCCCTAAGTGTTGGAAACACCTGAACTCAGAAAAAGTGGGTCTTGTAGAAAAGCTTCACAAATTAAAAATATATTTCTCCACGTGGTAAAAGTGCTTTCAATCCGATTCAGGGGACAGCAAAGGTTATCTCAAACATGATCTGAAATGGGGCCCACGATCCGCGGCATCGCAGGTCCCACCACAAGGGAGGGTACTTGTGGGAGTGAGGACACAGAAGTGATAAGGTGTGGGGGGCACGCCGCCAGCCACGCCTCGGCTCACCGGATGTATGAGGAAGAGTGTCCCAAAGCCCCCGCTGAGGACATTGTGTATCTGAAGAAATTAGGTGGCTGTGGAGATCAGATGAAGGGCTGCAAGGTGCAGAGATCACTTGTTTCCCAGCTGTGGGGCAGCGGGTCCACCTTGGGGCTGAGGATCCATGGAGACGTGTCAACCCCAGTGCGGGAAGGGCCTGGGTCTATGGGTTCCACATGCCTTCCCACCAGCTGCTGCCTGTCCCTGCTGTGGGACATCTCCAACCCCAGGGCAAGTCACCAGGTGGTTCCCTAGCCAGGGACCCCCAATCCAGCTGTACCTTTCCGGGGGACCACCACACACGGAGAAAGGATGGTGGAGGATTTTGTTTTCACAATGCTACATAGTTCTCAAAAGTAATTCTGCCAACGACGACGACGACGACATGGTGACAAAGCGCACAGCCTGCAGGCTCCCCAGGCCTTGGTAGGTGCAGCCACATGGGGCCCTTCCTCCCCCATCACAGGCCAGACACAGAACTGTGATCATGCAGGGAACTGTGAGGGTGTGTGGGGTGGGGGAGGCGGGGACACATCTTGTTTACAGTAGACCTTAAGCAACAGTAGGAAAATAACCTGAAGATATATTGAAAAATAAAAAAACAGCATCCCTCTTGACTGTGAACCTGGCGGTTCCCCCTCGGCCCTGCCCTCCACCAGCCCCGTGTGGGAGGTAGCAGGAACACCCTGTTTGTAGTCAGCAAGCTGAGTTTTAATGGCACCACATTGCATTTCTTCTTCCGAGGGAGCCATGTAAGCTGAACACACATGTCCCCAGGTGCTGAGTGGTGGCACTGGGTGGTCCGTTTTTGCAAGCTTGCCCGGTCTGAACTTGAGCCCGTCATAATCTCTCAGGCTCTGGGAAGCAGAGCATGGTCCACTGGTCCCTATTGCTGGTACCTTCCAAGGTCACAGCCCCTCCAGTCACCTGTTTTAGGCTCTGGGGAGCCCCCCTGCTCTTGGGGGGGGGGTTGCTGAAAGCAGACCCTCGGGCTACATGTGGGCCCTCCAATAGGCAGGCAGGTGACAGGCTCCTTCCTGGTCCCTGCCACCCCTGGGCCAGCGCAGTCTCAGTGGGCTGGTGATGCGTCCTCCAGGCCCAGTAACTCCCTGACAAGTCTCTCTCCAAACTGTGCCCGGCTGTACCTCTTCACGTGGTAGGCGTCTGACATTTTGTACAGGATGTAGGCGTTGTTGACAGCGATGCTGACGGCAAACCAGAACACCTGCTGCCACGTTTTGTTTGGCTTGTGAGAGATGAAATACCTGGGGACAGAGGGGAGTGGCCATGTTGGGTAGCTATCGCCTGAGGTTTAAACGCCCCCTTGTGGAGGGAAGCGCTTTAAGACTCAGGAAGGAAATGAAACCCCCAAAGCACAGGAGGAAACAAAACCCGTAAGGCTGAGGGAGCTCCTGGAACCCGAGGGGTTCATGAGGCTCCCATCCCAAGGCTACGTCAACCCTGGCAAATGCTGGGAAGAGGAGACTCTCCAATCAACTGAGGGAGCTCCAGGGATACAGCTTGTGTGAGCTGTCACCCAAGGCTCCTGTTACGTGACCATGATAAACTCACTGGCTGACTGGGCCGGACTGGGCCGGGTGGAACTATTCCTTTAATCTGTCACGAGTGCCCAAGCCGGGGCGGACAGGTATTTGTCAACCTCTTCTCAGAAAAGTCACACAGCAGGCCAGCTGGTTACAGCTCCCCGGGAAGAAGAGCCCAGAGGCTCTGCATGTGGCCATGGTATCAGTGAGGGCACCAGGGACCAGCTGTGGGCAGGGTTCCCTCACAGTGAACGTCACTCAAGGAAAATGAAGACAAAGACAGGTATTTAGGGCCCTCCCCAGCCCCCCGCATCCCTCGTCTCAAAGCCCTTCTCTAGGCCCATCCACACCTGAAGCGCTTAATCCCCCAGCTCCAGGCCCTGCGATGCGCCCTCTCTTTCCCACCTGTGTTTCCGTTATCCATTCGTCTTTCCTTGGGACTGACCCTGAACGCTACTAAGCCCAGAAGCTTATCTTGGGATTATCTTTTCCTGTGTAGTTTCTCTGCATCCTGGCCACAGCATGTCTGAAGACCGCCAGGGTGTCTAGCACAGGACACTGCCCCTCTGTGGCCACTAAACCACCACCAACTTCGAAACACCGTGACACTGATGTGGCAAGTGTCCTGTCAAGGCAGGAGATGTGGCTTCTCGCGGGAGGGCTAGATGCTCCAGAGAAGACACAGGTCTTGCTCTCCCCTCCTGACCGGGTCATAGGCCAAGCAATGGAGTTTCCCCTAAGGCAGCCAAGCTGCTGGACTAGCTTGGCTCTGGGTGGGAAGACTGCGGTGGAGGCATCTACATGCTCGACAGCCTCCTGGGTGGTTATCAGGACAAGTGGCAGGCTGGCTCTGTGTAGATGTAAGCTACACACACCTACTGTACACACTGCATGTGCCTTCTCTACGAGCACAGCACAGGCTCACACCTGATCTCGGGCATCCTCATGTAAAGGAGCCAAGAACTCAGGAAAAGGCCTCGAGCTGACTCCTGGCATTGCGGACCGACTGAGGGGGCGGGATGGACAAAGCCCACAGAGGATGGAGGCTACACTGTGTGCCGGGATGCCCACCACTGAGGCACGGGCAGGGAAGGGGACCTCAGGTGGGGCTGGAGGCCTGGGGTGTGAGTGGGGCGCAGAGGTCTCTAGAGGTTAAGGGGGGTGTACAGGCCACCTGGGGCCAGGGTGAGGGCCAGGGACTACCCTGTAGGTCCTCACGTTCCAAACTCATGTTCTTCAACACGTCTGGGCCAACACTGTCCTCCCGTCCCACCACTGTGCCGGTGGTGTTCACCCTGCACACCCCATCCATCACCACCCGAGTGCACCCCGGCCGCTCACACCCACTTGTTATAGTGGTGTTCACCCTGCACACCCCATCCATCACCACCCGAGTGCACCCCGGCCGCTCACACCCACTTGCTGTACTTGTCGTCGTATCTGCAGATGTAGCTGAGGTGAGCAGCGAAGGCCTCCACGGCCAGCGGGCAGGGGATCTCCCCGCTCCTCCTCTTGATGATGACACCTGTCGGGGAGACAGCGCTCAGCCCTCTTCCAGGCACTTACCCACCTGCCAATGTTCCTGGCCACCCAGTTCCTGCTCCCGGGCTGGAGTGGGGCGGGGCACTGGACTGGCACCATCCATCAGGTGCTTTGGCAGAGTGGGGGGAGGGGACACAGAACAAGCAAGTGCAGACATCTGCCACCAAGACTCGGTAGCTCCACGGGCCCAGGGACAGAGACACACCGCAGGCAACCCTAAGAGGCACACACAGACTATGGTCAGACGGGCCTGAGGGGAAGGGAGGGGAAGCGGGGCTCTCTCTTCCTCCCCATACTGGCAGATGTGGCCAAGGGCTGCCCGGAGGGGGAACAGTGGCAGTTTCTCTGCGTCCCCTTCTGTGTGGGTGGGATCATGTCACAGGGAAGAAGGAGGCCACCCCTTCCACACACACAAAGGGAATGCAGCTAAGGTGCCTCCAGAGTCATGGCACAATTCACACCCCACAGAGCCTGGGTCCAAAAGGGACCCCACAGGACCCCACCATTCCACTGCCCCAGTGGCTGCTGTATGATGCCTGTCCCCGGGCCTGCCAGTGCACGGTCTGCCGAGCCTCTGTGGGACACGGAGACAGAGATGGAGGAGTCCTTCCTAGCACCGTGTGTGTGCACTGGGCATGCTCAGAGTTTCCCACTGTGCTGGTCAGTTTTAGGTCACACTACAGGAGCACACACTATTTGGAGAACATAAAACATACACACACTGCCACAGAAGCACGTGTGAACCACACATGTAACATGACCATACATACATTGTACCACCATATATATATACATACACACACACACATATATATACTATATATTGTACCACTACACACACACACCACCCACATGCCACACCACAGGAACGTGCACGTCACACTCGCAGCATGCACACAGGAATGCAAACCGCTTGTGTGCATACCACACTGGAAGCATCTCTGCAGATTCCTTTGCAATCCCCTCAATTTTTTTCTCAGCAGTTTAACACTGTCTTAACTGTCAGTTACTTTAAATACAGACTCAGGGCTAATTAAGTCCCTCTGTTCTGAATCGATTTTAAATCCCCGGAGAATTAGTGAGGAAAACAGCAGGCCGCCTGGCAGCCAGGATTACACGGGCCCTTCGCTTCCCAGGAGTCCATGATGATAAAATGATCCACAAATCCCTCCCAGAAGGTAGCCCAACATCATGCCCTAAACAATAGAATCACCACACCCTCACAAGCAGGTGAGGCCACAAAGCCACTTGTCAATCAAACCCTCCCAGCTTGCCAAGGCAAGCTAAGGGCTTCATGAGGCTCTTCCCTGCCCCTTCCCGGACAGAACAACCACCTACTAGGGACACAGACAGCATGAGGGTCCTCCAGGCTCGTGCCCCGGGTGCTCCCCCACTTCCTACTCCCACGCTCCCACTCCCTACTCACCTTGCTGCACAGGGGAGTAGGCGTTGGTCAGGAAGCGGAAGTGCCCCTTGTTGTACCAGCAGATCAGAGACATGTTCCCCTTGGTCCTGATCTGGTGCTGGCCCCGGGCCAGTGGGGTGGCGGGGTTGGTCAACATGGAGGGAGGGAGGCCGGTGCAGTCGCTTTTCCTAGAGCTCAGCAGGCCACAGCAGTAGATCCCTGGCAGGAAAGACACAGACTCTCTCATGTGCCGTTGCCAGGGTGCCCCAAACCACAACAGAGGTAAGGGGAGACTGGCAAGAGCGGACCCTCCAGAAGCAGCCGCTGGCCTCTTCTTCTCTGCCCACCCCCTTCCTCTATAAGAACTCCCCCTAAGGTCACTAAGGCCATGGCTAATGTAAGCGATGGATAAATGCCTCAACACGGCCCTTATGGACAGGGCTCTTTGTTGGCGCTGTGGGGCACATCACCCCATCTGCTTCCAGAAACCTGTACTTGATGGGCTCTCACATGTACATCACAGAAGAAGAGGAGGAAGGAGCTCTGAAGGGGGAAAGGCCCCCAGGTCACAGCCGAGGTGGTAAAGGGGGTGTGGCTGTGCCCAACCATGCAGCCAGAGTCCTCGGGACGGACATACCTGACAGTTGTTAGGACCCTCGTCACTGGAGACGAGGCACATGGCACTCCATTGCCAAGAGCTCAGTAACTCTAGATGCTTCCAAAAATTCACAGTGCTGTCACTTTTATATTACCTCACCTTAGAAAAAGACAAAAGCCCATTCCCAATCACTCTCTTCCCGCTGGGGTTCTCTGCCCATCTCCTAGCTTGCTGAGCCAGGGAATACTTTCCCCCTTGGATCTCAAAAGCAACACTCCTGACTTCTGGGGAAGCAGCCCCAGTGGTCCAGGCCATGCTCTGGTACCAACACTCATGTTGCCCTGCACATCTGGCAC